CCCCAAAACCCCAAAACCCCAAAACCCCAAAACCCCAAAACCCCAATACTAATTTTCAAAACTGAAATCACTTGTTAGCATAACGCTGAAATAAAAATTATTTTTCAGTGCTAGTCGAATCTGACTGCGGTTCCGCATTTACTTCAAGAGTAGATGAGAGCGGACTGTTGTAGAGATTCACACTGAAGGAGCTACTGGAGACTGCAACGAAGGAATCTTTTGCTTTAGGCTTAGGTTTCTGCTTTGGAGCTTTGTTAATAACTTGATTTACATAAGAATTCTTTCCACTCCCTTGTTTTCCAAGATCTATAGAAAATGTTAAGTATCTCACAACTTGTTGGATGAGAAGAAATTTTAGGAGGATAATTTGACAGGTACCTGAGATATGTATCTTTGTGACAAAGCTGGCATAGTTCTTCTTTTTATTTCTTAATTTCTATTCAGGTTTATAAAACATCTTACCTTGCTCTCATTCTTTTTATCTACTCTTCTAGAAAAATCCTGGTACAGATCATCATACACTTCTCCCTTTGATCTGTCAATCTTGAGGGTCTTAGTCTTGACTATTTTTGGGGTGAAGTTAACCTCTTGGCCTCTTTGACTATCGAGGTTGCTCTTGACTGTATCAAGACTAGCTTTATGCTTTGCAGCATACTCATACATTCTTTCTCCTAGCTTTTTAGCATCCTCAGTTTTAAGCTTCTTTAGAGTACTCTTGTTTCCTCTTTTCTTAGTGACAAGCTTGGGAGTAAAGCTGCATTCAGATAGTTCTTGTCTGTCCTTCTCGCTTGACATGATCCTTTTCTTTCTCTCAATTTTCCTACTCTCATCATGCATTCTTTGGACCATTTTCTGGTGATCGTCATGGTCGTCATATTTTGGAGTCCATCTTTCATCCCGATTGATCTCTGGATGGAATGAAAGATTAGAGTTAAAGTGCTTCGAGTAGGCAGAAGCTGTGCACACAGAGTGACTAGCTTTAGACATCTGTAACTTCTTCCTCCTCAGAATTTTTACAGTGTCAACAGATCCTCTCTCTTTTTGAATAAAATCTTTGCGTTTATCCTTCCTTGAAGCTGCAGTACTTCCTGTGCGACCAGTCTTGTGGGCCTTCTTATCTTCATTCACCATGTAAGGATCTTCTACACAGACTGAGTTAGTTACATTCATCTTAGATGCTTTCTCAATAGCTAATGATCTTGATGCTTCACGTACTTGCTTCATTTTTTTCCTTCTGGCTAAAGCATTCTTTTTCTTGTTTTTCTCAGCAAGAATTGTTTCTAACCTTATACTAAGTTGACGAGCTTCATGATTAGATTCTCTCAGTTCACAGTCCTTCTGGATATTATCATGCTGAAGTCTTTCTATTTTATGATCCTTCTCCTCGATCTCATGTTGTAGTGTAGCGATCTTTTCATTCAGAATTGAGAATTTCCACCTGTTCATATATTTGGCTAAAACTGCCCTCTTTTTGGCATTCATTAGCAGTGAGACAGATTTAAGTTTGTCAGCTTTACGAAGCTCTTCGTAGTGATCATCTCTTTTGGCCTGGAGATCAAGGTAGTTTGGCCAATTATTCACTACATTTTCAGCAAGTTCAGGGGCTCTATCCTCCAAAAATCCTTCGAGAATATCTTTAGTGTTGGTATCAAACACAATGTCTGCCTCTTCATCGTCTATTGTTATGATTAGATTGTGAAATATGGAAGGAGCATGATATGTAAAAAATAAGCAACTTAATCTTAAAAATTACCTTTTATATCTTTTGAGGCCATTTTAGCCCTTCTTTTGATGATGAAAACGTCATTTGCAGAGCTTAAAAGTCCGATTTCTCCTAAGTAGTCACAGAACTGTTGGATTTTGTTGCCATAGTAAGTCTCTTCAAACTTTTCCTTCAAGTATTGGTTATATTTCGCGGATTGTGTAGCAGACATTTTATGCAAAAATTTCCCGATTAAAAGTAATTTGAATAGCTCAACTTTCTATGCTTAAATGGGGTTTTGGGGTTTTGGGGTTTTGGGGTTTTGGGGTTTTGGGG